GGGAGCCGCTACCGCGTCTCCTGATTATATGTATTGGAATAAATATACGTATACGCGGCTAATACAATTGACATAATAGCAATAAGAAAAATCAAAGTTTTGAACAGTAAAAACTGTTTTGTTCCCATAATTAGAAATCTCTCGATTTTCAAACGACGATATCCAAAAAACAAAATCACTTTAATGAACTGAATATCTACGAGTTAAGTATTAAGCGAACATTAAAATTTCTTTGACTATATGCATAAATTTTTATTTTTTCGTTAAATACGTACTAATTACTCCTATCGTAGATGGCCTGTCTCTTTGAATGATCAAGGTTATCGCTAGCATGAGAGGATGAAACGCATAAATTTCTACATTATCTGACATAATGCTTTTCTCCTGATTGAAGTACCACAATTGTCGCAAACTGTACTCAACAGTATCATCTTCTTCTCGATCTACGACATCTTCCTTATCCCGATACAAACTAGAAATCGATCATCAATTACCATTTTACTTTCATGTATTATAAATAACTGAATAAAATTTATGTCTACTAGAGGTAAATTGTTTAAATAACAGAAAAATTCTATTTTCAGTCAAAGCGGATCTTGAAGCTTAATAATATTCAAACGCAATAATTTTGCAAATACATTGCATGTGAATATTATTAAGCACCAACATCCACTTAATCAAATATAAGATTTCTTTCTCTTATTTGTGTTATTTATTTACAAATCATTTTCTTTATTATTTTCACTTTAAAATTTGCTCAATATTCTTCATGTTTGAAATGCATTTTTTATAATAACTAACAAATTGCCTCAATAATTGTAATTTAAATTATTATATTATATGAAAAAGATTACTCATAGTGAAAGGGTCCTAGGTCTTGAACAATCGGCTTCGCTCCTGATGCAATATCATTCGGATTTGTTACATTGAAGACATAAATATTAAAATCCAATGGCTGCGGAAGTTTCTCCCAAAAATCGCGTATTTCGTTTCCTTTTTTCAATCTAACTTGCTGTAAAATTTATAAAATACAGTAATTTGGCAAAAACGAGTCTTTCTTCTCGTAAATATGATAATATTCAAAGGATATTAAAAAATTTAACAGAAGATTATATCACACAATTATATTTTTATTATCAGCATCTTAAATAATTATTTATAAATAATAATTATATTAGTAATTATTATTAATAATTTTCAAATAAAAATATATATTCTACATAGTAAAACTTATTTAAAATTAGTTGGAAAAGATTTTATTATTTAAAATATTCACAGCTTGAAGCTAAATTCGTAGTAATCTAATATTGAAAGAAAGATTTTTCTTACAGTTCTGATTTCAGTATTTCGAACAGAGCAATGATAGATTGACGATGTGATGTATCAATCACTACTTACAGATTTAACTTGCGACTTCAGCATAGAAGGAAATCCCAAAGTATAACTGATAAGCCCAATGGAAAACGTACAGGAGCCTGCGAGTCCTAATGTTTTCACAGACACCATATTAATCTGAGAACACACCGCGCGAATTGAATTACATTTTCTATCTTGGAGAGATTTTTACAGCAGGTTAGCACCTTGTATTCGTCAATAACGTGTAGCACGATGTTGAGAATTTTTCCGATCGTAAAAAAGGATAATAAACGCCTCAGATTCGGATCACGCCTCGCATTGTCTACTCGACGACGCGTGTTATTTCCCAATCTTTCGAAAATTTCTTGAAAAATGCTCATTCTTTGCATCGACATTTTAATTTCCGAAATATACAAATTTTTCGATTATCAAATTTGATAGAAACTTGACTTCTAAAATTGACAAAATCAACGAGTTCTAAAATTAACAAAATTCTAAACCTTTAGACTTAATGGATTCCTTGATATCTTTTTATAGATTATTCATATATAATTTTTACATAGAATTTTGATATTTATAAAACATCGAATGATTTGATGTTCCAAATAATTCGATTTTCAAAGTAAATACAAAGTTCTTGATCTTTAAATTTATCACGCGCGATCCTTCAGAATTCACAAATTTTTGAGTTCGACTTTTTAAGTCAAGAAATTTTAGATTTCGTGCTTTCTTTTTCTTAAATTTCTGTCCTCGTGAAGCTTCTGTGAAGCACACCTGGAGAAATTCTTCTTTAGAAAGGTTGTCGATGTGCGAATGTCCACTTCCGTCAACGTCTTGCGCTTTGATCTCAGACGTCTTCTTGTAGGCGGTCCTCCTCAGCAATTCTCATCGGCAAACTACCCGCTCCCCTGGAGTTGTTCTCATATTCACACATTCTTACATACACATATGCACATCTTTGTTTGCCATTGACTGTGATTCGACGACATCGGTGCGATTGCGACTGCGCGATCAGCAGCTTTTGAGATTTATCGAATAAAAATAGCTATACAAAAAAGCTTAAATAGATTTTTCCTATATGATATTTGCTTTTCTTATGTTTACCCGCTGGAAAAAAAACGATTGAAGTAATTATATACAAAAAATAAGATAAGAAAATGAAAGATATTATTCTACGCTCTTAAAAAGATGGTATCTTGCATCTTTAAAAAGAATAATATGTATATATAAATCTCTGAAATACAAAATTTGCAATATCCAAAACAGATATGTTTTAAGTAGCAGTAGTAGAGAAAAGATCAAAATAGGCAAATTTTAAGTAGTAGCTGAGAAAAGTCGTCTATACTGACATAAGTCTCCTAAAGAAACATCTCCTTATTTCTCAGATGTTCAAATTTTTGTTTTTATTACAAAACAGATAATCATTGCAAAATTGCAAATAATATTATAAAAATTGCTATATCATCTGACAGAATATATTATCTAGTTTATATATATTTCTAAAGTTGTGTTTTTAGTTTTTCGTTAAGAAATATACAGTCCAAAATAATATGGTAGTATTAGTTACATTCTTCTAGTAGAAAATTAAAACACAATTTGTTACTAGAAGAATGTAACCGATTTTTTTAATGTCAAATAACAATATGTTATGAAACTGTGCTAAACTTTATATAATACTAGAAAATCTAAACTATTAAATAATATTTATCAGTAAGATATATTTTACAACTAATATATTTTACGTTAACTGAAAAATAATATCTCATATCAAATTTGTCATAATCTTTCTCTCTCTCTATCTATAATTATACTATATTCAAAATGGCAATTTAAGTTTCAAAGATTCAAAAAATCGAAAGTATCAAGTCAAAACTATCCGAATTGATGACTAATTAAAAGAATTTTCTAGTATTCCAAAACGTAACAAATAAAGTTTAGTTTGAAAAACTGTGCATCTATATAATTAATTTGTAATATGTATTATTTAAAATAAAAATGTTTTACTTTTTTCTACTAAACACATTTAAAAAATATCAAATTTTATTAATAACACTAGTTTACAAAAAATTTTTTTTTCAATTACTTTGGACCGGACTACGTATCTCTTATATATTTTTAAATGCTGAAAACGATGCCACAAATGAAAAAATTCTAACACGTCAGATTTCTAAGATAATTGAGGCTTAATACTTAAAAACAGCTTTTTTGCGATATTTGACATTTTTTAATAAAGAAGCTTAACGTTATCTTGAAATTTCGATCAGGAGTCATGAATGTGTTGTTCATCCCCTATAAAATTCATTTTTTTTTATTTCAATACCTTACTTTTTAGTCATGTTATAAACGATTAAAGATAAGAGCTATTTTGAATATAAATACCGCGGCAGCGTCATATGCGCATGCGGTAACGCTAAAATCATTTTAAAACAACAACGCGCATACACACACACATAGAGAGAGAGAGAGAGAGAGAGAGAGAGAGAGAGAGAGAGAGAGTGAGAGAGGAGAGGGGGAGAAAGAGAAAAAGTGGAGGAGAGAAAGAGAGGAGAGAGAGAGTTGTTTTATGAAAGATTGAGATACGTAGTTGCATATTACTAATTGTATTTTTTTTTAAGCATATATTTTTATTACACCAGTGGATTAGTCTCATAATTCTATGCATAAAAGTATTAAGGTACAGTTATCAAAATATGACCCTAAGAAATTAATCCGCATACACATATGACGCTGCCGTAGTCACCATACTCAAAATAGCTCCTATCTTTAATCGTTCATAACATGGCTAAAAAGTAAAGTATTGAAATAAAAAAAAATGCATTTTATAGGGGATGCACAATACATTCATAACTCCTGATCGAAATTTCAAGATAACGTTAACCTTCTTTATTAAAAAAAATGTCAAATATCGCAAGAAAAAGCTATTTTTTAAGTATTAAACCTCAATTATCTTGGAAATTCGACGTGCTAGAATTTTTTCCCTTGTGGCATTATTTTCAGCATCCAAAAATCTATAAAAAAACACGTAATCCGGTCCAAAGTAATTTTTTGCTGTAAACTAGTGTAATTAATTATATAAAAAAAGTGAAGAAAGAAAGCTTCGAAACAATACTTTTCATAATTGATTCATAACGTCCATTTGACGCAAAAAGTTATTTTTATGATATTTTTTTTAATGATATTTTTGCCTATTTCTAAAATGTTATCAATCAAATTTTATAAAATAAAATACATGATTGTCTTCCTCTATCGATTAGGTATTAGGCATTTGATGTATAATTTACGATACATAGTTCAATAGAAAATATACGTTCTGTGGTTTCCTATTGTAGGTACATACAAAATTTTTAACATAACCGGATAGATGCGATATCCGGGACTATGAATAAATTAATAAATGCTATTAAGACAGATAAAATTCAAGCATATTAGTCATAACAAAACGTAACGCGAATCAACACAAATTGCAATTATATATTTTAAATTATATAAATTAATAAAGAAAGAAATATAATTCGTAGATATAATTTATCTTAATTTATCATTTGACTAAAGTAAATTAAAAATGTATTCAAGAAATCAATACAAAAAGAATTTAAAAAATTTAATACAATAACACAGATAGAAAACAAAAATAATTTTATTCTTTAAAGTACATTTTGTAGGCTATTTCGTATTGGTATCCAGAGTTCATTTTCTTCGATCGTGATGACGATGTTTAAGTTTCAACTTTAAGTCAGTGTTATAAATACGCGCCTTTGGTGTCAAGTGTAACGCCTATCGAGCGCAAAAGGCGCCGAAGAATTAATTAATTATGACATTGCTATAGATACCCTATACACTGCTACGAACAACTTTCATACATTATTACTGTCGTCTATCGTAGACGTAGTTACCATAACCGAGGTCCCATTAAAATAAATTGCTATATATAAAAGAAAGCCGAAGCTCGAGCGTAAGACAAGAATCTAAAGATATAAGCCACTTCTAAAGAAATTGCAATCAAAGTTTAAAATGTGCATTCCGAACAGAGTACATATGATTAGTATAATTACTATTAAAAGCAACGCACTTACGATCGCATGACACAACATTGCAAATTATTTTAATGTAACGTGTAATTAATAGCCACTTTGTGTAACACAATATCCTTCTTCTCACATTCAGAATAACATATTTCAACAACACACATAGAAAAAGAGAAAAAACAATTCCGATTTAAATTTATAAATTAATATTTTCTTATACAAAAATAAATACAAAGGTAAAATTTGTTCAGCATGCTGAATTTTATTAGTCATCATTTAAAAGAATTAAAGACAAGAATAAAATTCGTCGCTTGCGAAGTTTAATTAATTATTAATATACAAAAATTTTCATTTTTGTATATTGATAATTAATTATAAAGAATAATGCAATTAGACAACTATAAGATCTTATTTTCACATTCTCTTTCGTTTTTTAATCCTACACCTCTGTTTATAACTTCGAATTGTTTGGACATTTAGGCAATGTGCAAAATTGAATCACAAACTAGATAGCATCATATATCTGTGTCACATTGAATCCACGAGAAGCTCATTCTCTTCTCCATGAATATGACGTTACATAAATAAGTCACGAATAAGTGATCTACACTATCTTGTTACACCATGAAACTGGGACCAATGAGTATTTCTTTATGCAACTATTATTGCCAAATTTTTTATATGAGATGAGACTGAGCACCAACGTACGATCGTGATCGAAATCCCACTTCGCAGAGGCGAAACACTCGCACTTCGTATCGAAAGAGAGAAAATCCGCGTATCTACCTGTCTAAAGGGATACTGAGAGCTGTGATGGCAGAGAGATAGCGGTTCGCTGTAACGGGGTTACGGGTTTCTTTCGGCATAATGATCTGACAGATGACCTTTCTCGGATGACATAGGGCGAGAAACCCTCCATGTGTTTTCTCGTTTTATTTACAGATAATCGTGAATGATGATCGATAACCAAGAAACCATCGTGTTTGTTCACACGATCGCTGATGTATCGAGATCGTGTATAGTTAGTCTTCTTAACTAACGCTGCCCGTTTATCTCCCTTGTAATCTATTTAAAATCTACTCGCTAAACAATTTATTTCCAAAAGCAACTGTTAATTTTTCTGCATGAGAACAGATGATAATTTATTTTTTACAGCTTATAAATTTGTATTGAAATGTAAATATAAATTAAAATACTGCGATGTTCAAAATAGCAAAATAAAAGTAATTAAAAATAACATATATAAAATTTTAGAAATCGAGTTAAACAATCTCCAAGTTATTTTTATTTATTTTTATTATATAAGCCAAGCTCTAATATGTAATAGCACCATTAAATAATAATTTTTACTAAGCATAAGTTATAAAAAAAACATAATTAAATTTTTGTTTTTATCTTTTTTTATATTTAACATCAATTAAAAATCATTCTGATTATTAAAGACATAAATTATATAAATTATATTATAGTCATTGAAGAAAGTATAAATTAATATATTTCAACTAATCTCTCTATCTCTCTATTAATCTACATCAAAAAGTCTCTGCCAATCGATCAAAGATAGTCGGAAATTTGCGAATTCTTCGGAAAAATGTAGTTCTCGGACCTATAGACAAAAGTAGGATTATATATGCTTCTTAACAACGAGTGGTAGTAGCGCGCGACGCCTCGCCTAGCAATTCGCTCGTCAACAATGCATGAGAGAGCCGCTACGTGGAAATCGCGACCTTTCTCTGTTGCCTCCATCGGTATATTTTTCCGATCGTAGGAGGTAGTGCGACATTTTCCATATCCATCGCTCGATGCGCAAGCATGGACTAATGTAAGAAGACACGCGATAGCATTTCATTGGCTGTTCAAACCTCCCTCCAACATATAATAACAAAGTAGCCAGCTAATACGTCAAATTTTTCATTATTTATGCTTCTCGCATCGTTAGGGAGGCATTTTCTTTTTACTATTTTACTTATTTCAAAGCTATAATCTATTAATCTCTTAATTAATTACAACAAGGTCTAGGCTTGCGAAGTATTATCGCTCATGACTATCATTTGAGGTGCAACTCTAATTTACATTATTTCATTGTTTATAATTTTATATCTCGCACGTCAATAAAACTTATTATTATTTAAAGCATTATTATTATTCAGATAATCACGCTTATGACTGTTGGTATATCACTGACTTTTTTGATTTTAACAAACACTGTAAGATAAAATATGCAGTCTATGTATTTATTTACATAATTATTGTTCTAAATAAAAATTTTTTTATGTAAGAAATATTAATTTCAATTGTGATATCGATTAAAAAGCAAAACAATGGTGTTTGAGCCAAATGAAGCTAGCCTGTTCGCCAAGCGATTGAATGTGATTGATTGGATTTATAAGTAAAAAGTTTTTACTAAGAACCAATCATGTTCTCGGCGAGTAGACTAGCTGCTTTGTCTGCTTGAACACGCCCAATGTCTCACAAATCATCGTTTTTTGTATGCTAGCTTGTTCTAGCATTGATAAAGTTTCTGAAATAGAAATTATGTTACATTGTTGATATTTTAAAGCACATCTAAATATTAAGTATTATTAGTTGCAAAGCAGATGTTACATAAAATGTATAATTTAATTTAATAAATCATTAATAATGCTAATGCAGTTAAAAAGCAAGAATATGAATAGTGTTCATAAATTTTTTTGTCAGGTGTATACTCGAATAAATAAATTGTTTTCACCTTGTAACTATGTTCAGCGCACAATATTATTACTGCATTAATCATGATAAAGATACTTACTAATAGAACAAGTTCGCGCCATTCGCACGTGGTAATAGCATTGTTCTCAAGGTTGCTCAGAAACATAAATTTTGGAAAAATATTTATTTGACTTCAGAAATAAATTTTAAAAGAATATTTATTTTACTTTTGGATTTTTACGTAAAATTTGTAGCGATGAGCAACGAAAAGATAGAAGAATCTTAGCAAGGGTACAAATATCTGAGAAGTAAATTTTTTAACGAAATGTTGTTTATTAAATAGAAACAGACGCATTTGAAAGCTCACGCAATAATCAATTTTTAAGATACATTTCAGTCAGGCAAAATTAATTATGAATAATAATTAACGAATAATTAATTATTAATAATAAATCTATAACAAAAAAAAAAACAAGATAGCTGCGCTTATATTACTACAAGATTATACTGACACATTGGCTGCGTTCGGGCAACGCGCTATCAACGCTATTTGTGTCATACTATCTTTGTTTCACGTTTAATGGACGATGAAGATAAAATGACACAAATAGCGCTAATAGCGTCTCCTCGAACCCAGCCATTAAGTTACGATATTAGTGAAAATATCGTATCACTACTACATTAAAACGGAGCTCGACGAGCGCGTTAACAACAATTGAATGACTTGTGCTTGTATATGGAAACCGGTACTGCGTACGGTTTTGGCACTGCCACCGGCACCGGATACGGTCGGTCTACGTGCACGATCCTCTCAATGGAGACGGGAACCGGTTGCGGTACCGGTACCGGTACCGGTACCGGTCGATCGACTGGGATGTGCAGACGTTTCTCGACTGTCACCGGGACTGGCCGGTCCACATGGACGATCTTCTCCACGGTGACGGGATACGGTTTAGGCACTGGCACCTGTACGGTGCGTTCGACATGAATCGGTAGGGGAACTGGTACGTGTTTAGTGATCGGTACTGCTATGGGTACTGGGACCGGATGTGGCACCAGCTGCGGAACGGGCACAGGCACATGCACTGAAGAAAAGTACAAAGATATTATTCACAGATGTATTCCTATTATCCATTAATATGTAAACATTAATTGCGGCATTAGGTTTAATTTTACATAATAAATAAATCAAAAGCAGGTAAATAAAATCACATCTTTCTTCCACCACATAAAACTTAAAAGAAAGGAGACAATTGAATGGTTCTTTCTAATTAAACTAATTTAAATATTATTACGGAATTAAATTAATTATATCAACATGCTTTAATTTCGAAATACATTCAAGATCAATAAAACTCTATATGTTAACTCACCGACTGGCTGTTGAACTAAGACGGGTGACGATTTGAGTGTAGCTTCGTAATCCGGTGGACAATATACGTGTATACCGTATCCATTCGAGCAATCTATATCTCTTTTCTCATGTCTCTTTGCCTCTGAAGCGCTCTCCAATTTTCCTGAATCCTTGTCAACGGGAACAGCTACACTGCTGGCCACCACCAGCATTGTTACCTGTATAAGCGTCACGAAGAGATATTATGTCGAGTAATTTACGTTTTTGTACACAGAATATTCTCAGACAATTTACTTCAAATAAATTCATTATATGAAATTTAACAGCATCTTAATCAGATGTCTGAAGCGATATGAAAATTTTCCGACAACATTTTGAAACATAATAACATAAAATTTAATAACATAACATAACATTTTAACAAAAAGACATAACATAACATTTTAACATAACATAACATTTAATAACATAACATAACATTTTGAAACATTTTTAACATTTTGAAAAATAAAAAATCTTATCGTATATCTGATTACAAGTTTTAAAAAGATTTGACTTGTGTAATTTCAGTTTAATTGCTAAATCTGACTTTTTTTTATTGCGGTATTGGATTAGTTTAGATCATTTTAGATCAAGGTATTATAAATGACGCACAATTATCCATTGCAATACACAAACAATCAACAAATCACTAGATTAACATTCTTCATTCTTTATCGCTGTGTATCCGAATGTAAATCACGTGGATTATCGATCGTGATAGAAAGAATGGTTTTTACTGAACTATCTAAAAATTTAGCTAGTTACAGATTTGAAAATAATTTTGTTTAGACCATCAAAATAATTATGTAAAAAACTCGAACTGGTTATTAAAATATTACAACTTTTTGCAGAATTGTTATCAACATTTAAACGTTCTATGTAATTATTGTGATGATCCAAGAAAATTATTTTCACATCTGTAACTAAATTTTTAGATACTTTAGCAAAACTGTTCTTTCCGTGTAGTAAAATAAAAACGAGAATTCACGTAGGTACCAGGAAGAGCCTCATGATTGGTCGCTCGAGAGTTTTAGTTGCCAGTCGAGATGCCAACGAAAAACTGAGTTCGCTTCGGAACTGTGGCCCTCATATGTATTTATAGGGCATCATTGCTCGAACGAAGAAGAGCAGCGATTACAAGGAGCGATATACTTTCGCTACTTGAACCTGGGCGATAGCCAAACAGCGGCAGTATTTCTCTCTTAGGAGGTCGAACGAAGGCGATGTGGAAGACGCACAAAAAATCCTGGAGCATTCATTAGCAATGCAGTTAATCAGAGGTTTACCGGCAATTATTTGGTCTTTCGATCATTAGATAGCCGCGATAGTGCGCGATACGTGATTCAATTCAATCACGTAGTGATACATGATTGGACTCGGTCTGCGCATTGCATTAGTAATTATATTAGAAAACATGTATTAATTTTATGATTAATGAGGTAATCTATATGATTATTTAGAATTTTTTGCTTTGTGTGATACAAAAAACATTTAAAAAATACATATTATATATTACATAGAATTTATAATTTTTATATAGCGTATTTTGATATATTACATATTTATTTTAATTTATATTACAATTCTATTTTAAAATCTTATGTAAATTATAGACTATTTAAAGTGGGCCAGATAATGCAGTTGGTTAAATAAATCATTGATAATTTCTTAACAGAAAATAATAAATAAGTTTACTGCAATTAACTAATTAATCAGCAACACACTATTATTTCATATGCAGGTTAAAATGTCTTGTGTATAAAAAAATTAACATGGAGTGTTTTTTAACGAATTAATGCGTGAATTATCGCTGATGTAATTCATGAGTTTTGCGCAACAAGAGATGAAGATATGCGGCAGCAAATGCAAATAGCAACTCCGGTTTCTTTCAGCGTTCTCCGGCATCCTCTATTCGGTCAATGAGATCGAGCCGGACGAGTTTTCCTCTTTCGCTTCCGCGTTAATCGCGAGGACTTTCCTAACTTTCATTTTCTAAGCGTCAAATGCCGTCGCGTTCCTAATGCCGGCCACGTTACTCGCCATTCATTATTCATCGACGAGTTAGAGCTGGCGAACACGTAACAATACGCCCGATAACGCTGATCAACCAAAATTTACTAGCCACAAATGTGCGAATTAGCAGAATGCACACGTACGTGGTGATAAAGAACAACAAAAAAAAACCAGCCTGGTGGACAATTCGAGAACAAGAAAACAATGTTGCTATGGGAAAACAAGAAAAATGTTCGCTACTTGAACAATTTTTCTTTTATGGACTTCTAAAAGTGTATCCAAGAATCATTTTTAAGATAGGAAATTTAGAAAAACACAGCATTTTCCGATAATATATCGGGGAAAAAAATGCTGTAATTTTCTAAATTTCCTATCTTAAAAATGTACACGGAACATTCTTGGAATAAGTACTCGGATGATGATTATATTAGGAGTTTCCTATCTTAAGATACGTATAATCTTTTTTTAAAAAAGTACATTTTCGAAGTAGATAATGGTCACATATTTTTGCCTATGTGATATTAATTTTTTACAAATTTTATCGATAGAAACAGTCGAATTTTGTAACCAAAAATCATCGTTTTGACTTTCTCTTGATTTGGTGTGATCCTTGGATACACTTTTAGAAGAAAAATTGTTCAAGTAGCGAACATTTTTCTTGTTTTCCCATAATAATCCTACTTTACGAACTTTCCAAAAAGATGAAATACAATATCTTTTCTAGTTCTGTATAAAAATAGACTACAGTTCCTCGAATTCTTTAAGATTACAAATAAATATATTTTTTTTTAATAACTCATGAATCTTACAGATAATAATATTAAAAAAGTTGACATATTGTCAACTTAAAATTTGCTAATCTAGAGTATCGCGACTAAGAATTAGTTGTTGCAGTTGTACGTTATCAATGTTTATCCATTGCTCATGCAGACAGTATCAATAAACGACGAGGCGCAGAATTCTTAGGCGTTTTCCTTTTCACCGTACGTGCGCGGAAGTGAGTTTCCAGGCATAATTAAATAGGTATGAGAATGTAGGTAAGTAGTACGAGTGCTTTGATCGTCGAACGTAATTGCAATGTCAACATTGCACGAGCTCGTAATCGAGTGAGAAACCGGTGTCGTTCTTGGTAAAAGATATGGTTGCATTTACATCAATATCAAATAGTATTCAGTATTATTTAATATATCAAACTTAATTATTAAATATCTGACTCCTTCAAACTCTACGACGTTGTAATGAATATCAAATTTGAAGTCATTAACTAAAATTATTTAATTTCATCAACATTATTTCAGACCAGAGGTATATAATAATATATATGTTGGAAAAAAGTAAAAATTGATAAATTTAATTTTTAGTACTAATTGCTTTAGTCAAGATACTCTTGAACTGAATTAAAAAAACATTTTTTTTAACATAGTTTTATTAAAATCAAGTTTGAAGGGATCAATATGTATGTGTTTAATAAGTATTCAATATTCTGTATAAATCTGTGTGTGAATCAAATTTTAATAATCAATAACTTAATCAATTTAATATTAATTATATTTTATTAATTGAATAATTTGACTTAATATAAATTAGTATTTATTATGGTATGTGATGCGTCTATTAGCTTGTTCCATTTTAGCTACGAGGCTTTATATCTGTCTGACGTTATCTTGAAATGTCGCCGCAAACTAAATCGATCGCAGACAACTTTCATCACCGGAAGCTTGGGTATTAATCAAGAAGGGTAAGTTTCCGATTTGATCGTAAATGGGAACTTGCTCTGTTCCTTGATCTGGACTTGTTAAGTCGTCATTGGTACGATTCGCAAATATAAAAGGCTTCTGTTGTTGCAATCTTATGAACAGTTTGTCCACGACTTGAGCACAATGTCGAAGATCTTTGTAAGTAGCCGCACTTACTCATTTAAGTTGTGTAAATCAAAATTAAAGTGTGAATGTAAAATTATAAATTATCTATGATTCTAAACTGATTATTTAATTTTTCTAAAATTAAAACTTCCAAGTACTCTTCATTAAATTCTTCCAATTTTCCTACTAATTTATACAACGCGTTGAATAATTGAATTTTGTAAGACATTAATTTGTCAAAATTTGAATTTCTTTACGTTAGTGCTATATTTCAGCTGTTCCTGACATTATTATGCACTTGTGCATTCGCATCGGTGCTGAAGAACACGAAGCAGCAAAAACGGGGTGTCATCAGTAACGACAGATGGATCGGTCTCCCGAGTCCTTATGGACAACCATGGTCAATCGAACGTAATTCTTGGAAAGGACTCAAACTTCCCGAGGTTAATCTGCACACAGGGTAAAAATAATATACTTATTGAAAATAATAAATAATAAACAAGCTTTATATATAAATATAATTTAGAATAATTTAGAGTATATCTCTCTAAATTGTATTAAAAAAATATAGATGTTTCGTGTTAAGTTTTAATGTTCTAAAATAATTCTGATTAAACAGAATAAAATAATGTATTTATATTGAAAGTAAATGATATAAGGGTGTCCCATTTTAATCGATCATCTCAAACATCTCTTGAACAGTGCATTTTAAGGAAAAATGTTTCAGACAAAAGTTTTGGGACTCTGAGGGGGACATAAAATGGTGCCATTGGTTTGATTTTGGGTGGCGTTGTCAAGATCAGGACAAAGTCACTTTGAATTTTTTAAACGGAACTCCCCATTTTTCATTACGTATTCTTGTAGCTTACCTCGAGAACTTTCCAAAACACTGTAATTAAATTCATTTTCATTAAGTACTTTTCGAGTTATAAGGTTTGCAAGTTATAGCACTGCAGACATTAGCATTACCTTAAGTGTCCGACCGACGGTTAAAATCTCTTGAATGTTCAGAATCACGACCTGGATAACATTTGTCAAGATCAAGACTATTGGAGGTTGTACCTCTTATTTTCATTTTTATGTAGAAATAAATTTTTAGTGCAAAAGTGAAAATAAGAGGAACAATCAAATTGCATACAATTTTTGCGCTAAGTTTTACAGTTATAAAATAAATAACATAAAATATTAGTCAAACGAGAAATTTTATAAATATCATACAGCAATAATAAATATTTTTTGAAGGATCATTTTCTTCTTTACAAATTATATTCCTTCATTCTTAATAATAGACTTAAAAAAAATCATAACATACTTTCTAAAAATCTTAGGATATCTATAAAATGACAATGATGTTAACCATTATATTCACAAATATCGACCGACAGGTTGCATCTACCAAGTGTGTCTTATGGTAGAAGTGGCATTGCCTTAACACCCGGAATTGTGAAAACCGTACCAGTATATTTAACGAAGCATGTAGTGCTGGAGAAGCCAGTGCCAGTTCCGGAGCCGGTAATCATAGAGAAACCGTATCATGTGCCACTACCGATCGAGAAGATTGTTCATAAACCAGTCCCGATTCCCGTCCCGGTACCTCAGGTAACATCCCGTCAATTTTACTTTCTTTCAACAGCACTTTTAACAAAGTCTATTAATAATGACATCTTTTTTTTGTAATGATTTTGTAGAAAACAATATAAAAAATCATGGAAATTCGTTAATATTGAAATTATATTAATAAGCTAATATTCTAAACATAAAATCAATTTATAGTTTATCTTTAGATGCTCAGTAGCCAATAAAATAATTCGTAGAGCATCTAAAAATAAATTTAAAGAAGCCTTCAATGTAAGGCCTGACTATGAATACGGGTATTATTCATCATATTTTTTCTTCTTCTTTTTATTTCTATTGATTTCTATCGGTAAATTTTCAGGCGGTGCCGATCCCTGTGGAGCGTCCAGTGCCAATTCCAGTGAAGCAGCCGATCGCGGTACCCGTGCAGCAGCCGTATCCAGTCCCAGTAAGGCATCCAGTACCCGTCCCGGTTCCGGTGCCGATCCCGGTTCCGGTACAGCCGTTACCATCCCCGTCGCTTCCGCTGCGTTTGTTACCACCCTCGCCGCTTCCGCTGCAACCGTTATCGCCCTCATTGCTTCCACTGATTCCGTTCGGCGATCATCCTGGTGCCATCTATGCGCACGACTACGCACCCGATCATCTTCCCGTCCACCCGTCGCCGGTCGCTGTTCACTTGGACCACGGCGTCCACGGCATCGCTCCCCTTGCCCATGGCATCGGCCATGGGATTGGTCATGTGCTGGAGCACGGTTATGGCCATGGTTACGACTATCACGATGCCCATGCTGATCATCTCGTCCATGGGCATGATCACAAAAAGAGGAAGACTGATAGGAACTGACTCGAGCAGACAGAGGGCGGAGGGCGTTGAAATTATAATGTTGTATATATATATATATATATATAGAGAGAGAGAGAGAGAGAGAGAGAGAGAGAGAGAGAATCAACG